TGAGAATGGATTTGACAAATATTCTGAATAAGGACGGTATTAGCAGTATTTCGTTTAAGGTGATGAAGGGCGGGTAGTTGAATGTTTCCACAAACAAAATAGGGTGAATACAGCAATTATATTAGATCTACTGGTAGTCTCGAAAAACTACTCATAATAGAAAAATAAATATTCTGAACGTTGCCCTAGATAAGTTCGGTGGCTTACATTAATAATATGATTTGCGATTGTATAACCCGATTTAATTTTATTCTAATCGGGATATGTTCCCCTTTATATACTTACCAGCATAATAATTCATAAACAAGGAAAAAAACGAGATAGCTATTTCGGGGTTTTCACGAAAAAATATTATCGTTAACAAGAACACAGTATTCGGATACAAATGATAAAATAGTAAAATCAAGAATTAATGCGAGTATATGAAGAAAAAGATGATATGACCTTAATATTATTTGCAGGCTTATTTTGCTGTTTAGAGGTAGTTTAACTTTGTTTTCGTAATTTGATCGTGCTATCAAAGGAAACTAGATGAACGCACCTGATTCGGAGTCCTTAGCCATATTAGCATTCCAGCGTTGGAATACCGACTTGGAACACGTCAAGACGGTTGGCTGACATCTTCATTGAGTTCTACCAGTCCTGGCACCAAATTAAAACGCATGAGACAAGTCAATCTCTTGGTTGGCAAATCTCGTAATAAGGCCCTTACTTCATGGACAACTACCGAGAGAATACTTGCGAATTTCAAACCAAATAAGAACTTAGGTCTTTAATCTATGTCGTATATGCCTAGCATAGTTATAGTAAAACAGGCCTCGCGCTTCTATTCATTATGTCAAATCCTTAGAATGAATCTGAATAATCTAATCCTCATCATCCAATGTTTCAACCCTCCTAAATTCTTACTTGGTTTGACTACATTAACTGTAAGCGTTTTTTTCTTTATTTCCTGGTTTACTCTGAGCTTGGCTAAAGAATAAGCAAAGTTATCATTAATTCTACCTTACCACAATTTCCTGTTCATTATATTTATTTGATTATGGATAATGATGGTCTATTATCTTGCATTCACTTGTGTCTATCTTAGACAGTTTCGATTAAATTTTATTATTTGCTCATTTTTATAAGCAAGTTTTCTAGACTACCAGTAAATCAGAAGAGATGTAGTAACTATATTTTGTCTAAGGTTATAAGAGAACTGGTAGTTCAATTTCCCACAATTATGTGAGTAGATCTTACTTTTCCATTGAATTTCACATCCTTGCTTTCCCACAAGGTATTCTTATTCAAGATGAACCGGAGTTTCGGCCTCGCCTAGGTTTCATCAGCACCCCCAGCAAGACTCGAAGCATGCTAATGAATTTTAGGCGAGGTAGAAAGTGAAGTCAACTCTGGATGATAATATCTTTTGGGAAAACAAGGCTGTGTGAATCGAAAGTATGAAGACCAAGATGGTGTGGCCTTTTGTGTGGTCGCAGTCTCCTTTGAGTCTATAGAGATTGTTTGACCTTGTTTTTGCAACTTGGTCATATATGTAGGAAGACTTAGAGGAACGCATATAGTCCGGAGTCCATTGCATGCATAATACATTCCAAAGTCGGACCATGGACGTGGTACATTTCCAAACTTTTCGTCAACATTTGACGAGTTGGTATATGTCGCTAAGAATATCGAAACTCACTGATGATGCCGGCGAAACGTTTGGGAATATACCACGTCCAGGGTCCGACTTTGGAAAGTATTATGCATACAATGGACTCCGGACTAGATACGTTCCTCTAAGTCTTCTTACATATATGACCAAGTTGCGAAAACAAGGTCAAACAACCTCTAAGGCTGTGTGAAATTCAATGGAAACATAAGGTCCATTCATATCAGTAGGAAATTCAACTACTAGTCTCCTTATCACCTTAAACGAAATAGGGTAAATACATCTCATATATTTTTTCTTGGTACCATTCAAACTAATAAATTGTATTCGCTTATAGCATTGATTACCAAACTGTGCATCGCGGGGCCCCGGAGAGCCGCGGCCCCTTTACAGGGGCGCAGCGAAATATTTTAAAAGCTTAAATATGAGAAAATGTGCAGTGATTTGCAGGCTCATCCATCACATTAATCATTAAATATTAATTTAATGTTAATAAAGTAAAAAAAATGAATGAATGAATTTATATCTCTTACCTACGAATAGTCATACTTAGAGTGGGACGCCATGAAAAAATTTTAATTGAAAAGGGCGCCGTGACTAGAAAATATTTGGTAACCACTGGCTTATGGTATAAAAATAGATCAAATAAGTAGCTTAAGTGATTTCGATATTATTGGAATATCTGTGGAAATAGTGATAAAAGTGTCGGTAAAAATCAAAATCTTCTAATAAACGGTTTTATAAACATCTCGACTCAAGTATAAATAGAAAGCAAAACTATATAAGGCAAACTCCCATTTTTTAAAATAGATAAGTATATTTGTGCTTGTTATAAAACATAGTATTTTATTTAGATAAGAATCAACGTCGTAAAACAATAAATTAAATCCAATTTGCCATCCTTAGCTCACCAGAAGCGTTCAAATTGAACATGCCAGTTGGTTCACAAGCAGCCGCAGAAGCTAGTGAGGTCACCTTCAGAGAGACGCCAGGAAGAGAAGACGAAGTCTTCCCACCACTGCGACAATAAACCCGGCTAGCAGATGTCAGGCTCCCAGGGGCCGCCATCTGATAGCCCGTCTCACATGACATCAGGCCTGGCAAGCCACCAGCTTGTCCATTTATATTACTACTTCCAGTGACGACGTTAGACAAGGCGGTTGCAGAACCTGGAGAGATACCGGCTGTGGAAGTAATATTTGTTGTATTGATAACTGCGGCAGATGTAGTAGTGGTTGTAATGTTAGAAACGGAGAGACTGGGTACTCCTGAAGAGTTTAAGCTAGTTGTGGTTAAAAGTCGAATGGGTTGTTGCGATTTATGCTGATGGACAAGAGTGTGGCTTCCAGAAAGGTGCTGGTGGAGATGTAGAGGTTGCTGTTGATTATGATGATGCGAATGATGGTATTGGTGCTGAAGATGCTGCTGTGAATGTAAAGCCATAGCAAGTCGACTCGCAGAAGAGGTGGGTGAACCAGAAAGCGTGCCAATGCCACCTGAGTTAGCAAGAAGATTAGGACAGTCAGTCAGACTGGGCAAAGGTGCGACAAACTGGTTGTTAACAGTCCCGACTGAAGGACAACCGCTGCGTGGTGGAGAGGATGTACAAGCAGCAG